CTCTATCGAGGTAGGTGTTTTGTGGTTTAATTTATCTTTTATGTTGATTTGGCTTGGTTTGTTGAGGTGCTGTCTCTCTTTGCAGGCAGGGATAGCTACCGAGGTGGAGGTCCTGGTTGCTGAGCAGGTCGCCCAAGCTGCCAATGTGAGTACCTCGATTTTTTCTTTTCCCTCTATCTTGTATGTTAGTCTCATGTTTCTTGACATGAGGTCGGTTTTTGCAGGAAGGGGGCGTTGTCGAGATCCCGGTGCCGCCGAGGTCGGAGGTGCCAGACGTGGAGCCCCCCGTTGTTGAGCAGGAGACGCCCGTCTCCGTTTCTGTTGAGGCTCGCGGTAAGGGGCCGAGTCTCGAGGTTCCTAAAGCCGCGCCTACCACCTCGGCGGCGCCGTCAGATTCGTCGCAGGTGGCTTCCCGGAGCCAGTACATAGCTCACCGCTTCGGGAAGGGCCTCACCCAGGTGCGACTAGACCATGTAAGTGCATCGGTCGACCTGAACTCGCTGTGGAGCACTGGAGTGACTGCCGAGAAGTTCTTCCCCCAAGGTTCGCTGACCTCGGATGACCAGGGACTGATCGAGGGGGCTAGGCCCGTGGAAAGCTTCGACGCTGCCCATGTCTTTCTAAAAAGAACTATAGCGATTGTGGACCACTGGAAGCATAAGTGGTCTACACAGCAGGAGGATTTGGTTAGGCTGAGGAACCGAGTTCAACCTCTGAAGGATGAGAACAAGGTCCTAAAGGAGGAGAACAAGGTGCTGAGTTCCGCCCTCGGTGAGGCGAAGATGCAGGGCGCCGAGCTTCAAGCAGCGAAGGCAGATCTCGCCAGGGTTCAGAAATCATTGGAGATTGCCCTGCGCTCCAACGAGAATTATGCTTCCCAGGTGGGCGAGCTGCAGGGGCTCGTCGCGTCGTCCCGAGGTCGGGTGCGGAGCTTGGAAGATGAGGTGACGTCTTCCAGTGGTCGGGTTCGCTCTTTAGAGGACGAAGTGACCTTTTTGAGGGGCGAGCTTGTTGTGGCGGCTGAGGAGCGTCTCCGTGAGGAGGTCATTCTCAGTGGCAGGGAAGAGGAGATTGCCGCCCTGAGAACGGACCTCACGAAGCTGGAGGCGGAGAAGGCGGCGCTGGAGAAGAAGCTTGAGGAGACCGAGTGCTCGGTTCTGATTGAGCATAAGAGGGGTTTCCTCAAGGCTGCTCGCCAGGCCAAACTCCTCGCGCCAGGATCTAACCTTTCTGCCATGCATGTGGAGAAAGTCATCCGCTTCGGGAAGCTTGTCAAGGAAGATGATGTCGAGGATAGCTCCAGCGAGAATGCCTCTCCGTAGGCCAATTTTGTAATAGCTTAGCTACATTTTTTCTGCTTTATTTTCCTGTTTTTAATTCAAGTGTGGAATTGTGAAACATTGCTTGTATATGTATATTTTTCTTTGTCTATTTGCGTTTGCGCTTTTCTTTGCCTTTGTGTTTAGGCTTGAATTTTGCTGTTTGCGCGTTTTGAGACACACGTTCGATGTCTGTTGTATGCTTTTATACTTGGTGATTCACCTTGAGTTGATCATGCCGAGGTTCGAACGCGACCTCGGTTTTTCGTTAAGTAGTTTTTTGTGAAGGTTCGAACTCGACCTTAATCATACTGAGGTTCGAACTCGACCTTAGATTTTTGTTAATTAATTTTTGTGAAGGTTCGGACTCGACCTTAATCATACCGAGGTTCGAACTCGACCTCAAATTTTTCGTTAAGTAATTTTTGTGAAGGTTCGAACTCGACCTTAATCATACCGAAGTTCGAATTCGACCTCAGATTTCTTGTTAAGTAATTTTTGTGAAGGTTCGAACTCGACCTTAATCATACCGAGGTTCGAACTCGACCTCAAATTTTTCGTTAAGTAATTTTTGTGAAGGTTCGAACTCGACCTTAATCATACCGAGGTTCGAACTCGACCTCAGATTTTTCGTTAAGTAATTTTTGTGAAGGTTCGAACTCGACCTTAATCATACCGAGGTTCGAACTCGACCTCAGATTTTTCGTTAAGTAATTTTTGTGAAGGTTCGAACTCGACCTTAATCATACCGAGGTTCGAACTCGACCTCAGATTTTTCGTTAAGTAATTTTTGTGAAGGTTCGAACTCGACCTTAATCATACCGAGGTTCGAACTCGACCTCAGATTTTTCGTTAAGTAATTTTTGTGAAGGT